CCTGCCCTGCATTCAATAAATAACAAATCACAAACGGCACAGCGGCACTCTGACTTCCGGCGAACCACCACTTGACACGAACGCTCCAATCATCTTTTACTCGGCACGATTTTGCTCTACGACACCTCGTTTCCAACAATCTTTTTCGATTTCGAAAGCTTCCTAAGTTCCGCCCTTCTAGGGGGGAGCTCTGTTGCGCCCCTAAAAGATAACCGGCTATCTTTCGTGTACAATTTAATTGTTGACCGATTGTACATTACTCCCTTTCTTGTGTTAAGTCTTCCTTTACAACCGGCTCCAGTCACACAACAGCCTTGTAAGTTCCCGCGCTCACGTGCTCGCTCTCGTCTCGCTTCATCCGTCCGCTTCTTGTTGTAGCCCATCGAATACAGTCCGCTGCGTCCGACTCCAATTGCCTTCTGATATCCGCGCTTAATTCCGCGCATCGTCTCGGACTATTATTAACTAGTCCTACACATTGAGATCAACAGGCCACCTATGCAAAACTTACATCTGGAATCGGTATGTTCCACCTAAATTAATTAGAGTAATGATCCAAGAGTAATGCAATGAATGATGAGGGTCCGGTGGACTAGCACACTGCTGGTGGATCAGTAAAAAGGACATACATCCGATAAAGTGCAGCCACAGATTAGGCTTAAATGAAAGCAGACTTTCTGTGAGGGAAAATCGTTAAAGCGTACAGATAACGATGCGAAAAAGTTGCACACATTTAAGGCATAAGTGCCGGTTGCGAACTACAGAACAGGAAACCCAGGTTGCAATCTAACGTCGATATCACAGCCTTCAACGCGACCTCCTGAGCAAATCTCCTGGAGCACAGAGTTATAGTAGCGAAAGAGAAAATGGCCACCATGCTTATAAAAGATGGTGACATCGGGTAAAGATCAATACGTTTTTGGGTGTGACTACTAGCCAATCACCGTACGTTTCTCTTGGTGTTTGTTGCAAGCATTAGCTTTTGCATCGCGATCCGAACAAAAGATGCATTTCATGTATGATTGGCTGCGAATGTTTACAGGACTGCGTGGGATCCGAGGAAGTATTCTAATAACTTACCAGTTCAGTCTCAGTTGAACAACTATGACCCCAGCATCGAGGTGCGGTGGATCCAGTTTGCCACGAGTTACATCGCAAGCGTAACAATAAATAAGGGATGGCAGGATAGGTGTGATGAAAGGCAGAGTAAATGAAATGGAAGCAAGAAGGAAGCGCGCTAATGAACGAAAATTAACAACCAGATGAAATAAACCAAATGCAGGAATGCCACCGATTGCGTGTCTGCGCCATGTCTGATACTGTCTACAGTCATTGTTGTGGATCTTCCCGAGACTCCCGTCCACGAAGACGGCACGTACCCGCCTGACCAAGCCTCTTAGTCAATTTCTTCATGCCTCTATGCCACGTAATGGGCTGGACACCTTGCACTTTTGCCCAAATCGATGAAGCCATTTCGTATAAAGCCCGCCAAGGAAGCCTGTCAACGGATATCCGTAGGGCATGGCGTAGCCAAGGTAAGCGATTAAGATGCGATAAACACCCGAGTAAGTCACCAGAAAGTTCCTTGCCGAAACCAACTGGCGGAGCTCAGCATTGCTCACCCGCTGTTCTCACCAGAGGTGAACAATACTTCACAAGCACCGGCGGTAAGATCCGGATAAGCGCTTAAGGTCTTCGTCGCGAACTGACCAGGTCTCCGATCCAAAGAGTGAGACTGGCCATACCGCAGCGTTATACACCCCACCTTTCACTGACAGGCTGATATCCCGTCGTCTTCATAGAAGGTTGAGTTTCCGGAAGGCCACACGGGTATTGCTGCTACGCCAAGTAACTTCCTCAATGATCCACCAGTAGTGACAAGCTACCAAGGTAAATGAACCAATGCACCCCTCTAGCTGGCGGTTTGGTGATAAGCTAGAACCAAAGGTCGTGTTGGTACACGTCTTGTAACAGTGTTTGGCACTTTGAAGGTGAAACACATGCCAAAGTGTGCATCAGTACGCGCTTCAGCCTATAAGAGTAGTGTTGCATAACCACTAGAGTTAGGACCCAAACAGAGCTACGTCGTCCGCATACTAAAGATTTGTCAGTCCGCTCACTTGGCAGAACTTCCACAGCACGGGAGAGTCCCGAGGGGACCAATTCATTCATGATTCAGTTCGAATCACGAAACTGAACCCGAATACATTTCATCGATACTCAATACTTGCAAATAGAGCTATTATGAATACGGCCGTGTAGCTTCCATCGTAATTAGTTCATGGCAACGTGCGCAGATTCATGTCACCCGATTCCTGAACGTCCTGCATGCATATTAGCAATTGTGCACATATTGCAACGATTCGACTGGGTTGCCCGGTAGATCGATATCTGCAGACCACCTGGACAGGAGGTCGTGGTCATGTTGAAGTACGTCAATGATTCTCTAAATCTGCGAACGTGACACAGGACGACCCAAGAAACTGAGACACTTCGATCATGTGCATCGGGAATCAAATGGGCCTCAGTACTATACCTTTGGGTACTTCGCTAGTAGGGGACACCAGTACGTTAGATTGTCATCCACCTGTACCCTCCAATTCCGTCCAACAAAGAAGTAACTGATCCACTTGTGTACTGAGCCACTAACACCCCACATCCTTAGCTTGGTGTGAAGGACCCCACGATTCACCTTGTCGAAAACTATAATGAAAGCAATGTAGATCACATTCACTGACTTCCCTCGGTTCAACACTTGAAACCATACATGCCTCATCATGAGTATGTTGATGATAAAGTAGCGGCTCGTCATGAAATGGTGCTGTGTGGTAATCAAGCTTTTCGACTTGAACAACTGCAGCAGACCCATTTTTACGATTTTCTCCGTTATTCCTGCCAAAAAGGAAGTCAAACAAATCGGCCGATAATTGTCCACCTTTCTTGAATCACCGGCCTTCGGAATCGGCTTCACTATCGACGATTTCTAATCATTCGGCAGTGCACCATCGGACAACGATCTGTTGAACAGATTAGTCACGGAGAACGAGAAAATGGTCGACAGTGACTTGAGAATCAGTGGATGGAACCCATTTGGACCGGCAGTCTTCGCACTGTCAAAACTGAAAAGTAGATTGAGGACATCTTCCACAGCACAATTCAGGCTCTGGAGTTTCTTAGGGACTGAGCATGTGCAGTGACACGTACAGACAGCTAACACAACCGTTAGCGAGCACGAATTTAAATTGTTGAGTTCAAATGTTGTAAAGTCGGTATACAACCACGGGTAGAAAAATAAAAAAGCGGGACTATTCTACCTTATGACATGAATATACAGAAAGCCAAAACGGTATGGTGTTGCGCTTCCCAAGCTTCGTAAACTTATTTTTCAAGTTCTGCCTTTCGTTATCAAGCATTGACATCATTTGGCTGAGGAAAATAACATATTGCGTGCCATAATCGATACATATTAAGTCGTGTCAGGTAAAATTGCATGCTTACCATCAGCGACTGCGTGCGGTTTGATTAATGCAAGAGTTGTGCCTTTTAGTCTGGGTTGTCCGCGAAACGCGGGTCCACCAGGATTAGAGAATATTTGCTCCGCTTGGAGAGCTGCAGATTCCACATCCTTGGCGAGCAACATCAACTCGCTACTGACAATTAATTGGGAGCAGTCATGCGTGGTCTCACGAGTAATAATATCGCAAATGCATGCGATCGCATTGTTGCGCATAAGTTCGACGATTAGCGTTGCCTTCTCAGACACTTCTTTAAGTATGTACCTAAAATTATTGAAAACGCAAGCCTAGAAAGGTTCTTCAGAATTGTTTCATTTGAAGTAAGGTAACGGTCCATATGGTGGAACAGGTAAGTAAAAGGTATAATATGCTGCATTATTTGCCTAATCAAAGGTAGAGATGGGATGAATGAACATGACATATATAACGATTCATGATACAGACATGAGTCAACATGTGTTACACGGCGTAACGGCAAGTGAGATAATTTCATTGTAGATGCTTTAACTTAATGCGCTAGACATTAGTAAGTAGATTAGCAAAATGTAATGGGAAAATACATGTTGCACTGAAGTGAAACTACTTCACCCTAACCAATGTATATGAAGAGTATGCCTTATTTCATCCAGCAGAAGGAGCCTAAGTTAAGGAAGAAGGTATCAAGCTAGTTCAAGAAAAATGTTTTTGCAAGCGAGATATTAACTACAAGCCCATCAATTAATTAATCCAACTGAGATCCAGGGCTCTAACTCAGGAAGTCGAGATTAAAATTCCAATGTAAGAACCACTATGTCACGGGTACATTTCCAGTGATGATGAAAAAGCTACTGCAAATCATGAATAAGTGAAATAAACGAAAGTGAATGCCAGAATATGATAATTGCTCACCCTTCCGAAGACATCAGATAGCCACCTGGTTTTATGTGTTTGCATCCAAGCTAATTAAAAAACTAGCTAATTATGAATATGCATGTAAAAGGAAGGTGTTTAAAATAGAAGCTTACCATGCCTATACCATTTTACACACGTGTCAGTGCATTTTACCAAGCTTTTAGAGTGGCACATTTTCTAAATCGCGTGCAGTACTTTCAAGTTAGCGAGGCTAAGAACGCTGTTTTGGCGTCGTTGACAGTCTCATTGGTCAAGGGACGTAAACCCATGGGACACAGGTTAGAAGCCCACAGCATAAGCGATAGACAATCCAATGAAAGTGGTCGAGCACCGCCCTCTGATCTGTCTTGACGCCTATATGAAGGAAACCTCGATGATTGGTCTCCAAAGTGAAACCGTCCAATCCGCAATTTGTGATGCCTGTGATGTCTGAGCCGAAGCTTAAGACATAACCAGTGCGAACAGACATACTAATCAGCACATGAAGCGGTCTATAGTGATCGCTAGCGGCTACTTGGTGGTGGCTTATTCAGCGGCCTAACCATGGTGACATAGACAGGCAATCTTCTAACTGGTATTCGGCAAATCAGCAATGGCCGCTAGGCGGTTAGACAATTGTGTGCGATTGTTATTGCGACGATCATGGGGGACATTGTTCCCACTGAAGTTGGTAGACCAACCTGAAGCTGAACAACAAAAATACTAAGTTTGCCTACTTCGATCACAGTTCATGACTCAACAAAAATAAGAGGATTGCAAGTGTGGCATTGACACGACGTTAGCGAGTGTTCATTTGTCTCCACACCCACGGGCGACTTTGTTAATCAGTTATCGCTTCAGTGTCTCCATGTATGGCGTTATGTAAAAACCATAGGAACCTGTATTAATAGGATAATTAGGCTTCACTTCCATATGGTCGCCCATGGTGGCGTAGACAGGCAATCATCTAACTTGTATTCCGCAGTTCAGCAATTGCTTCTAGGTAGTTATACAATTTTGTGCGATTGTTACTGCGACGACCATGGGGACATCGTTCCCACTGAAGTTGGTAGACCAAGCTGAAGATGAACAACGAAAATACTAAGTTTCCCTACTTCGATCACAGTTCATGACACAACAAAAATAAGAGGATTGCAAGTGTGGCGTTGACACGACGTTAGCGAGTGTTCGTTTGTCTCCACACCCATGGGCGACTTTGTTAATCAGTTATCGCTTCAATGTCTCCATGTATGGCGTTATGTAAAGGTCATAGGAACCTATGTATTCATAGGATAATTAAGCCTCACTTCCATATGATCGCCCATACGTGTTGAGACGCTTTGACAAGTGCCTCTCCAAATGGAACCATTAGAACTACAGTCAATGCAGATGGAACCTCCCTATTACGTCCACGGACGGACATGCTATCCTCGTGAAATGGGCATTACTCAACAAAGAAACACCTAAAGGGGCCAAAATGACTACGGTATTTATACATGCCACATCGTCCTGCTAGAAAGGACGCAAGACTTATAATTAGTGGTGACGCAGGCATTTTACTCTGGCAACTCAGATGAGTACTTGGAACAGACAAACACTGTTGTCTCACTCACGGGCGTTCCTACAATGTGTTTGCAATCATTTACAAAGGCAACCGCGCCCACTAATCTTGCTGTGGACTAATGTTTCAGCTAGTCTTAGAAGCAGTCATGTGCGTACGCCGTGACACAGGTTGGTATCGACTTGGCAGCTACTCGGAAACATTTTGCCATTGGAAAGTAGGTAATTCCGGAGGCATTTTTGAAGGAGGAAAATTGCTCCAAACGCTATGCTTACTATGCGTATGTAATGCTCGTTGGCAAATCATATCAGGGCCGTAGGGTCACTTGATATTTCAAGCTTATCAATCACTTGGAAGTGAAATGTAAATATCATGTTGAAACGCAGGATTAACATGCATCTTACGACAACATAACGGCAGGTCTATGGGTCCTGTGGCGGTAACTGATTACCGAAGTAACCCATAGGTGTGGAGACGAACGAACACTCACTAATATTGTGTCACCGCCACACTAGGAACCCTCCTCTTTGGAACAATGGCTACAGATCCACTGGTGGTCTTACCTACACAGCGAAATTGACCTTAGTATAGAATGCGCCGACTACATCAGCAATACGTAGCTACGCTATTCACATGAGTGTACGGCCGACTGAAACAACACAGCACGAGGATTTTGTAGCTGTAAAGGTTTTAATAATTCTATTTGCGAAGAAGTCCTAGCTTTACGAATTGCTGCAATGTTTATGATTACCTCACATTGCCTTAACAACCACACGCATATCCTAAACGAAATCGCACACTTATCGATTCTCCAGATTGCTCGTATTGGCATGATTACACTATGCATACCGTATCACGTGTGGCCAGCTAGGCAAGCGAGCAAGGAAGGCAACCGTGCAGTCAACCCGTAAGCCTACAAAGCTTCTCTTCCAACAGCCTGCAGCGGTTGCAGCGTCAACACAATCAACCAATCCGCTGCTTATTACCACTCACTTAGACGTCATCTTGCTCGACTGGTAGTGAAACTTGACGCCAGATTGCCAGTATGACCAATCACGTATTATGTCTCCCATTGGCTGATCACCCTTGACACCATTGAAGTGTGCTGGTATACCGATTGCGATCAATTACCATGAGTTAAATCAGTTCGTAGTTTTGCCTGTATTTCATCGAGGTGTTTCGCTAAGATACTGTTGTAAACTCATATCAGCTATGAGCATGTAGTAAAAAGATCAGTGGAGTAGTTTGCTTTCCGACGAGAAAAAAGTTGTAACAAGGACACGAAGTGCGTAGCCTATAATTAGTGCAAAAACATCACCGCGGTCACAATTATACAAACTTCCTTGGTTACAAAGTGCTTTTGGCATTATTTCAGGCATTCATGAACTTTTATTCCACACGTAAATTACCGCATAATAAAATTATAATGCATGATAACGCATATATAATCCCATAATAACAATGTAATACCAGCAATGTTTTCTCCCCTTAGTATGTAGCAGATAAATCGAGAACAAAAACGATTGTTTGTCCCCTTTTGCCAAAACCCATCGCAAGCGATTTATCCCTGTCATTATTAGATTTTTTACTCGTCCCAAATCTCGAGGCAGACATATACGGAAACTGATGTATAAAGGAACCGATTTCCTGGCACAGGCAACTAAGTTGCATCACATGTTGTTCCGAGTCCATTTGTCATCGATATCAGGTAGCTACAGTAATACCACAACGATTTTCTCGCCTTTGCATCAAAAATCATTATTCCTGGCCACGGTACGGAGTGAAGTGCGAGGTGGTTCAACTGAAAGGCATTTTGTACTCCTGTCATCTATCGAAGCTCAACAATAGTGCAAAGAACTAACAATGTTGACCTAACTCCCTGTTACTTTGGTGATGCAAAGGAACGATCAAAAGTTGAAATATACAGTAAGATATAAAAACGTGGCGAAGTAATTTAACGCTGAGCGGGAAAATCAATTACTACTAACAGGTATATGCTAAGTCGGCACCTGAACTCCCAGTTAAAGATATGAAACTACTAGCGCCTCCATAGGCGTACAAAGCAAGCACTCGACTTTGCACCAATCAGTCAAACGTGCTGGGTGGGCTGCGTAATAAACGGCACCGTATGCGTTGTATTCTTTGCTACATCCTTTTAATTTATGATGAGATGTTGGAGCAGCAGAGTAACAGTTTCCTGAAATACATACATGTGCTCATGACGAATCATGTTCGCGTGTTCCGTGACATGTAGACATCATCCTGACGTATTCAGCATGTGGAAAAAATTGGTCACAACAAATAGACAGTGATACACATACATTAGAGTAAAAAATAAGCTTGAAACATAGATTCAGCAACTACCTTGGAATTGAAATTAATTATAAATAGGTAAAACCTTAATAACTAACTTGGAAAACTTACGAATATTTCGTATATTCAACCGATTCACCCAGGAGCTTCGTCAGTTCGCTAGAAGTAAGACACACCATTTTTATGTTAACCAAACGAAAATCCTCTTCTTCTAATCGGGTAAGTATTTGGCCAGCCTTGCAAACAGCATCTGGCTTAACCAATAACAAACATCTACAACGGAACACGCATAAGGTTAGAGTTTTGTTTACCTCTCCGAATTGCATTCAAGGGATCTCCTGGTAAATTCATCAGCAAAACCAATAATCCTCAAAGTCCTCGAGAATATGGTAACCGAGCTACCCGGATAAAAATTGGAAAGCTTGAGATTTTCAACCTTTGTGGGTTTCAAAAATAACCTGTGCAACTTGTTGTCGTGCTGCGAAAAATTAGTTACTACGCGGAGCGCATTGTTACCATTTCGACTGACTGAGAGCCGGTGTGATACACCAAAGTGTACCTTCTAATCTCGGTGGAATATGGGTCATACCACTCAACCAGAAATGAATACGAAGGACCTCTCTGTGTCTGTAGGGGCAATAATAATAATAGCCGCATACAAACCATGTGGCACAACTGCGTGATGAATCAGATCAGGTTTATATATGGGTACAGAAAAATCCAACGTCGGGCGAGCGACTTTCGCACCTCTGTAGAGTGCTAATAATTGGTTTACGGATAGCAAAGTATTGAAAATCGAGACCCTGCAAGTAGCAAGAAAGAAGCATATAATTGCACCATACGGAAGTTCAACCGGTGTACAATAAGTCAGCTGCAATGTATTTATTAATCTCGGCCCAGCATTATTATAGTACATAACGCAAAAATCATATATTTCGTTACAAGTAATTTAAATTGTCAAATGCAAATGCAGTGCTCAATGTGCCCATGCATCTGAAAACATGGATACTTAATTGCACGTAGTACGGTTTGTATATAAATGTGAACGTAGTAATCAGATGTTTAGTAGAATTAATTAATGTGAATGATTTGCACCTTAAAGAATAAATCAAGCTGTATACAAAAAGCTGCAATATGTACAAAAAATACCGAGAACTTTTCTGGTGTTAACATTAGCACTGTATCCAGGAAGAAAGTAATCACGTTTGCATGACTGACCAAAATATGTTCGCTGGAGTGACCGTTGAAGAGCCCTGAGTGACAAATTTTGTCCCTGGTCGATTCAATTGGACACTTTTTGGACGAATGTTGATCACACATAATGTATTTTCCAGCACACCCTTACCATATACCTCGAATGTATTTTTCCTAGTTTAAACTGCCGTCAACATTAAGCGGAAATCGATCCCCAAATTGTAAGTACGCGACACTATGGCCGTCAGGCTAAACTAAAAATGCCTTTGAGTGACCAAAAAACGTCCAAAGAGTGTCCGATTGGGGCAGCTGGAGGCACAAAAATTGGTCATTTAGGGCACTCAAACGGTCACTCGTGCTGAATAAAATTATTATTTTACTAAAAAGTTAAGCCTCTTAGACAAAGAACGGCTGTGTTAAATATGTGCTACCTTAGTTGACAACAGTCGAGTGCATCACGCAATTTTTCGTCTTATATTCTTTACACTTCCGCGATTGACCAAAAACGCCAGAATGGGACGGCTGGCCGTCACTACGTGCGGACAGAGAAGCTTTCACCGAACAGACGAAGCATAGTCCTCAAGCAATGCGATATGAAAGATCGATTTAACTAAAAAAATAAACAAGCGCTTCATCCTAGATAACTCTTCAGAATATGAAAATGCATGCGTGATAATAATTTTAAAAGGGTTTGTAGGTGATTAAACACAATTTACCTAGATTCGGTAAAACGTTCGTTAAATTCGCACAATATCCAAAACTATGTTGCGTATGCACAAATTAATTGTTTATACATAAACTGTGGACGTATTATGTCAGATAATATTGTATGGACAAGGGCAGGAAACAGCGACGCACCACATAGCTATTTGTTGGCGCCACCGAGCGGTAACAGCTGTAGTATTCCTCCGGTTTTGGTCTTTCCGAACTCTACACTAGTGCGACGGGTCGTAATAGACCCTAACAGCTGCAACACAATACCTCGTAGACGGCTGGATGCTCATCATCACAACAGCCTAGTAAGAGGCCGATGTACAGGAACAAAGGTATACTTACGGGGTAAGAAAGCAGGATGCTTAGCATACCCCGTAGTAATGGCCAGAACTTGAGAGCCATAACAAGGTGAAAAGAAAACAAACGGATAAAATGAAAATCACTTTAGTGGACTCACCACAGTGTTCACACAGAGGCATGCCGCAAGTGCTAACAGTTGTGTAGGTTAATTCTGGTTTTGAGACTTTCGTCACATTCTGTCGTCTGAAGAAACACAGGCTGTCTTGTAACGTAAAAGCACTGTCAAAATACAGGTCAAATGAAGCGGAAACAACGTCATTAGTGAGGGCGTTTCATGGCTAGGCACACACGGAGCATGAATTCTGTCGACTTTCTCTAGCCGACTGTCTTGCGTGTCCAAACTTGAACTGGTGTCTCATCAATTCATGTTGTGACTGTCTGTGTAGTAGGTGGCGGCAGACGTGGTTGAAATTCCCCAGTATCTGATAAGCCTTAAGGAGGTCTCCACTAGGTGTTGATACCGGCCAGACACGGCTAAGGATGCAAGGAAGACGGAAGGAAACTTTTCCGGAGAGGAATAAATAAGTGAAGGCTAAAGAGGACGCAAAAACTCATCGACCTCTTGCCTTTAAACGAGTAACCTGTGACGCCACCGGGACAGCTACGAAGTTACCAAATGGTTCTGGGACCGTGTGCTTGTACGGTCAGTTATAACTCGCGGCTTCTACGGTCAGTTATAACTGGAGAAGTGTAGTTCACGTCCGGTTGTGGGTTCCTAGGGGTTCCGTGTCTTGGGCGTATGTGTCTTATTAGACCATGAGACACTTCGTAGGCGGCTGGACAACCATCAAGAAAGAGTCGGAGCTAGATAGGATGCGTGCCTGCGTTCCACGTAGAGAGCTGCACGGCGTTGTCACAGCTGATGACGGAGGTGACTGAATGGATGATGTGAAAACACGCATTAAATGAATAATCTACGATAGTGAAAACGAAATGGGAAGGTAAAGAGAGGAGGAAATGATAATTGCAATCTAGGCTACGCTCGACGACATCTTACAGTTGACTTGCTACAGCAACAGTCTGACGGGTAATCGAATGTGGAAGAGTAAGACTGTACGGTAGAATATATACACTGATATAAAAGACCGGCAGTTATATACGTTTAATAAGCATTAAAAGACACGGCACGCATAAAATGAAAATAAGTGTGGTACTTCATATGTTCTACCGTACTCTCTATCACATTCGGTCGCTTGGCAGACTACCGCTGTAGAAAGTCAACAGGTAAGAGTCGTTGAGTGCAGCCTGGATTTCGATTGTTATTTGCTTTTCTCTTAAACTTCCCATTTCGTCTTCAGAATCGTATAGCAGTTATTTGCCAACCGTTATTTGCAGCTAAAGAATCCCATTCTAGGGTTGCGTTCCATCAGTCGGTTAAGCGAAAATGCGAATTCGTATAAAAGCTATATAACTTTTTCCATACAACGAAGTTATTTTATGCTCTTAACATTTTTGCTAGTTCCGCATACATTTGAATAATAGAACATAGTTTGTGTAAGGAGACAGAAAGGTGCTCTGAGGCAATAGAAGAAAAATCGTAAAAGTGGTCGAGTTTGAAGAGTGAAAGTTCTTCAAATGAGATGGGACGCATATGGCTGAAACCAATTAATAAGCACATGTCCGGCACTCACAGCCAGCAATAAGAAAGTACGGCGCAAAACTGAAGTTTCCTCTATATAAAAATTTAGAAACGATCATTAAAACAAATTTTTAGTTATTCGGTTTATCCAAAAAACAGCGCAAAAGGCGGTGGGCCGTATTGTAAATGTTCTTTGTATTACAGTGTTAATTTAAAGTCTCTTCTCATGTCTACCTGAATTACCAACTGGTGGAACCCCCCCAGGTT